CCTTTCCAAATTCCCATTGCGTTTTTTTGCGTGTTTTTCCTCTCTCCCCCTCCCCCAGGTGGCCTGGCCGGATACTCTCTCAATTCTTATGATTATTTTCGGAAACGGTGAACACTTCTTCTTCTTCTTCTTCTTCTTCTTCTTCTTCCTCTCCTTTCTGCTTGCGCTCACTGGCCGTGGTCGTCGCCGCCGCTGCTCCACAGGCCGGCTCTCGGGTCAAAACTGGTGGGCGAGCTGGGCGAGCGGGAGGGCCAGCAGCCACGCGCAGACGCCTCGCCGCCACGCGCCGTTGTTCCCGTCGTGCACTGCACCGGGGCCTGTGGGAAGGAAGAGAAACGCCCACATGGTTAGCCACAAACCCAGCAAAACCCATAAAACAAACACAAACCAACCCAATAAAACCATTTGGGCCCCCAGTGCTATTGGGGCATTGCCCCGTGCGAGAGCAACCCGGGCAACCACCATCCTCTAGAGCACAGCTCCAGCCATCCCCATCCCCACCGACCCCAGTCTTTGGGACACAACCCCCAGTGGTCCCGCTTCAGCCCTGAGTCCCCATCCCAAGACCAAAACCACCAACCAACCTCCTCCAATATCCTTTGCCCCACTTCCGAAGTTTGTCCAAGTTTCCAGTCACACTTGTAGGGGAGAAGATAGCTTTTGCTCAATGCTGCCAGCCCCGTTGTTCCCCAAAGCCTGTGTGGGGCTCACCACTGACAACGCGCTCTGCCCATGGGCCCAGACCATCTCAAGAAGAATGAGATGGGACAAGGAGGGCGGTCAAGAAGACCCAAGCCCATCCAATACCTTTGGGGATCACAGGGGAGTGTGAAGGAGCTCATAGCTCACCGTGGGAAAGGATGTGGAGGGTGTCTGACCCAACGGCTTTCACCCAAACACCCCAAATAGTTGGTCTAGGGGAACACTAGGCTGGGAAAAGATCTCGGGAAGGCATCCGGACTGGTGCCTTGCTGATCGACTCGCGCTTTTGAAACCCTAGGACGCATCCCCTTGTTTCAAAGCCTGACTGGGGCGCTGAGAACCATCA